ACCTCAGGCAGGGCGTGAGCACTTTGGGAGACCGAGGCGAGAGGATTGCCTGAGCCCGCGGGTTCGAGACCAGCCTGGACAACATGGTGAGACCTCGTCTCTACAATAAATCAAAAATTTAGCCGAGCATGGTGGTGTGCACCTATAGTTCTGGCTACTTGAAAGGCTAAGGCAGAAGGATCGCTGGAGCCCAGCAGGTTGATGCTGGGGTGGCAGTGAGCATGCCACTGTACTCTAGTCTGAGTGAAGGAGTGAGACTCCAACTCAAAAGAAACAAAAACAAAAAATAAAACACAAACCTCAAATTAAAAAGAATATAAATAGTACTAAGTATGTACTCTAACCACAATAAAATAAAATTATAAATCAGTAACAGAAAAAAAAAATGGAGACACTCACAAATATGTGGAAACCAAACAACATACTCCTAAATAGATGAAGGGTCAAAAAAGAAATAGAAAAGGAAATCATAAAATATACTGAGATAATTAAAAACAAAACCCAAATACCAGACCTTACGGGATACAGCAAAAGCACTGCATAGAGAGAAATGTATAGTTGCAAATATCTATATTAAGAAATATCTCAAATCAATAACCTACCCCTCTACTTTAGGACACTGAAGAAAGAAGAGCAAATTCAACTTAAAGCAAGGACAATGAAGGACATAATAAAGATTAGAGTAGAAATAAAGAAGACTTAATACCAGTCCTTCACAAAGGCTACCAAAACCTAAAAGAAGAAGCTACACTCCCCAACTCATTCTATTAGGCCAGTATTAATCTCACACTATAACCACATGAAGACGTCAGAGGAAAAGAAAACTATAAACCAATATTTCTCATGCTATGAATGCAAAATACTCTAAAAGATACTACCAAAGTGAACCTAGCTACATATATAAAGAATTATACACCATAACCAAATGGGATGTATTCCTGGAATGCAAGATTGGTTTAACATCTAAAAATCAATTCATGTAATATAGCATATCAATAGAATAAAAAACAAAAATGTCATGAATATAACAATAGATACAAATAAAGCATTTGATAAAATCCAACATCCTTCCATGAGAAAAACACTCAATAAGATATGAATAGCAGGTAATGCCCTCAATCTGATAAGGGCATCTATCCAGCTAAACATCGTGCTCAGTTTTGAAAGAGTAGATGCTTTCTCCCTAAGATCAGAAAGAAGACAAGGATGTCTGATTTTGCTACTTCTGTTCAACATTGTACTGGAGGTTCTAATCCAAGTGATTAGGCGAGAAAAAAATAATAATAAAAGGCATCCAGATCGGAAAGGAAGAAATAAAATTATCTCTATTCACAGATGACATGATCTCGTATAAACAGTCATAAGACATCTACTAAAAAACAAATAGAACTAATTAACCAGTTCAGCAAGATTGTAGGATATGAGATTAATACACAATAATCAATTGTATTCCTACACATTTGCAATTAACAAGCCAAAAATGAAATTAAGAAAATAATTCCACTTATAATTGCATTAAAAAGAAAAAATAGGAATAGATTTAACAAAAGAATTGCAAAACTTATACTCTGAAAACTATAAAACATTATTTTTGATTATTAAAGATGTAAATCAGTAGAAAGACATCACATGGTTAAGCATCAGAAGTCTTAACATTGTTTACATGACAACATTCCCCAAATTCATCTACAAATTTACCTAAACCCTATCAGACTCCAAGCTAACTGTAAAAATTGATAAGTTGATATTTAACTTAACACGTAATTGTAAGGGACCCAAAATAGACAAAACAATCTCAAAAAAGAAGAACAAAATTTGACAACTCATACTTTTTATACAATTTCATACAATTTAAAAATTTACTACAAAGCCACAGCAATCAAGATGGTGTGGTAGGTGCATAAATAGACAAATCAATCATTGAAAAAATTGAGAGTCTAGAAACAAAACCAAACATCTATGGTCAATTAATTTCCTACAAGGGTGCAAAGACTACTCCATGGGGAAAATGTAATCTCCTTAACAAATGATGCAAGGACAACTGAATATCTACATACAAAAGAATGAAGTTGGGCCTCTTACCTCACACCATATACAAAAATTAGCTCAAGTGGGTTGAAGACTTAAACATAAGTGCTAAAACTATTAACTTCTTATAAGAAAACAAAGGGTTAAATCTTAATGGCCTCAGATTTGGCAATGGATTCTCAGACATGACACCAAAAGCACAAGCAACAAAAGAAAGAAAAAACAAATTGAGCATCATCAAAATGCAAACGTTTTGTGCTTCAAAGGATTTTATCAAGAAAGTAAAAAAGCAGCCCACAGAATGGAAGTAAATATTTACAAATCACATATCTGATAAAGGACTCATTGAATATATATGACCTCTTTATGACCAAGCAACAAGAATGCAATTAGCCCAGTGAGAAACTGGGAAAAGCATCTGAATAAACATTTCTCCAAAGAAGATGCACAAATGGCCAATACACACATGAAAAATGTTCAAAACTGAGTATCACATGTTCTCACTCATAAGCAGACCTTGAACAATTATTGTAATACTATAAGAAAAAGATTGGCAGTAGTGGGAAACTGCTGGTGGGGGGGG